TATGATTCTATGATTCTATGATTATTGCAGAGTGATACAGCAAAGAAAATGGAACTGGGCTATTGGCTGTGAACATCATTGTAGGTTTTGGCTCATCTTTCTGCTCTAAGTGATTTGGATAGTGAGATGTGGAAGTCATAGAACAACATATGGCTGGTTTGGTGCGATCACTGCTTTCAGAACTGTGTAGCACCTTTGTAGCCAATTCATTACTGCAAGGAGATTTTCTGGAATATCAGAGATTATTTATTTTGTATTACCTTATCTGTATGTCTCATCTGTTAGTTGTTTTGAGAATGAGAATACTCCAAGCAGAGAAACACTGTGTCATTTTCTTGTCTGTAATTGGTACCTGGTGACTGGATTTGATTAGACTTTTTTGAGGACATAGACCTCAAACCTCATGAGTCTATTGAGGTGCTTGTGATTGTGGGCAGCACTGAAGTCTCTGGTGTATACCTGCGTGTCTTGTAATGCATAATAATAATACTTGAAATGCCTAAGAATGCTGCTTAGAAGTTTTTCTGTTACAATACCAAAATCTCAGAGGCCAAATACCAAATACAATACCAAATCTCAGAATTAGACTGCTTGCATTTTTTCCATTTTAATTAAACAGCAATGATATCTTACTCAGAGAATTAGTATGGATATTGCGCTCAGTACAGGATGTTTTCTACAGGGACACCGATTTATTATGATTCACAGGGAGTTTTGATCCATGCCTACAAAGTCAATGGCTAAGAAAATGGAGAAAAATCAAATACAGATGAGAAAGTGGAATGTTATATATGGTAAAATAAAGAAACAGACATTGGCTTAATGACATCCAAGAAGCACTGCTAACGAAGCTCCAAGATTCCAGAGTGTTAATCTCATTAGTTTCATATTATTATACAGCTGTTAGCTCCTAGGCCCTTATGGAATCACAGAAATTCATGTCAGGTACTGAATCAGGTTAGAAATTTATATTAATTATTCCGAAGTGGCTCCTGTTTCTTACTTGAACTCAGTTGTGATTTACTGTACTGAGTTACTGACTCACAAAATTCTCTTTTAAACAGTTGCCTGTCATTATGCTGCTGAAGAAGTCCAGGTTTTTCCATAACACCTGAACATATATTTATTTGCTGCAGGAATTACTGTTCCTGCCAGTGGAATCCCAGTAGTTTTAGCTAATCATAATATGGCTGTAAACCTGTGATTTCCATGGAAATTAATGTAGTTACAAGAATTTCATTTTTTAATTTTTTTTTTTATTGATGGCTTTGCAAAATTTGGTTGCCAAACACATGTATGAGTTAAAAAAATTCCCTTCATTAACATTATAGAGGTTATTTATATGAACTGCTCAATATATTTATGTATTACTTTTCTGGATGAAGCAGGAACTGCTTGGCTGTCCCTCTTGGATTTGTGCTGCTAGCAAATAGGGGAGAACCTCCTTTAGCTCAAACAGGATGTGTGCTGTTGAGATCTTGCCCTGACAGACCCTAGTGGTGGTAATTTCATAGCAACATCTCAATGCAGTAATTTTTTTTAAGTTTTAAGCAAATGGTTCCTTAGTCTGTGCCAGCTGCCATTAGATTTATTTAAGCTTCAAATGCTTTTTTTAAAAGAAGCTTTTCTTGTAATATTATTCCAGGGTGGGATAACATTTGTGTGATATTTCCACATCCAGACTTGTACAGTTTTAGTACTAACCCTATATTCTAAACCTTTCATATTTTACTATTTTTTTTTCCTCTATAAGATTGAGAGTATTCAGATTATGCTTCCCCCCCCCCCGTTGCCAACATGCAGTGAGCTTGAATTCATTCTTTACATAGGTTTTGTCTAGAAATGTCTTTGGGGTTTTTTTTCTGTTTGGAGTTTTTTTTGGTGGAAGGGGTGGGTTATTTTGGTTTTGGTTTTGTTTTAAGAAAGTATTTGACAATGCCTTATGGGTCTATTAAGCAAGAATATCCGGAGACAGTACTATTATGAAATACATCTAAGAACTGGAGGGTGCTTAGTAGTAATATTAAATTAATTTTACCTATTATGAATGTTCATTTTAGGAGTAACCTTGTTGGTGCACTGGGGCAATTTGTACTTATTAGGTATTGACATATGAGTCTAGTCCTCGGACTCTGGAGTTTCCTTATTTCAAAAAAAAAAAAAAAAAGACTCCTGTGTTCCTCCCTTTGATAATTTTTATATGTATTGAGATGCCTGTTGAAGTCAATACAGGCACCCACCTACACTAGAAAAACACTGGTTTTTGCTCTCTGTTGGTAGAGCAGCCTTGTTACACAGTGGATCCAAGGAAGTAAGGTAACACAGTAAATTGTTTCAAAACAATGTAGTGATTGGCATTAATTTTGCACCTGTTGCCACCAGGTTTATCAAAAATTACTTACCCATGCTGCTGAGCTGACTTAGTCATATCAGCTAAATGATAGAAATTGTTCATCTGATGTAACTGCATGCTACATTTTCAAAATATAGTATATAGAAACTTTAAAGTACGATAGGAAATGTCAGTTGGAATTCTTTCATTAGTTACAAGGCTGAGAAAACATTGAAATGAATGGTAATACTGATTCTTGGCATACTGTTTAAGAAACATCTATCATTTGTATCAGAAAATCAGTTTTGACAATCCAGTGAAATAGTAAATGTAAGAAAAGTAGATAACCTCATTTCTCCATATACCCAAAGTTTTAGTGTATGTTAACCAAGTGTAACTTGATTCAAATTTGCAGCTATCACTTTCCTTCCTTGAAGTGTTCTCACATTTATCATTTGTCTAGATTAACCGTGTTTCTGATCAAATACCTCTTTTGTAATAGAGTCATAAAATTATTTTGGTTGAAAGAGACATTTAAGATCATCATTTCCCACCTGGGTCACCACTAAACCATGTACCTAAACATCACATCTACATGTCTTTTAAGTACCTCCAGGGGTGGTGACCCCACCACCTCCCTGGGCAGCCTGTTTCAGTGCTTGACAACCCTTTCAGTGAAGAAATTTTTCCTAATATCCAACGTAAACTTACCCTGGTGCAACTTGAGGCCATTTTCTCTTGTCCTGTCACTTGTTAGCTGGGAGAACAGGCTGATCCCCACCTTGCTGCTTTGAGGTAGTAGTTGTAGAGAGTGATAAGGTCTCCCCTGAGCATCCTTTTCTCTAGGCAAAACAATCCCAGTCATTGTCCTCAGCTTCTCCTTGTAAGACTTGTTCTCTAGACTGTTCACTAGATCAGTTGACCTTCTTTGGACACACTCCATGACCTCAATGTGCTTCCTGGAGTGAGGGGCCCAAAACTGAACACAGTATTCAAGGTGTGGCCTCACCAGTGCTGAGTACAGGGGACCAATCACTTCCCTAGTTCTGCTGGCAACACTACTGGCCAGTCTATAACAGACGTCTACCATGATATCTTCTTTGTTAATACCTATAAATGCTCAACCCTATTGTCACCATTACCAAGCTCTAGACAGTCAAACCACACCCTAACAAGTGACCCTAACAGGGCCACTCCACCATCTCTCCTTCATGACCTATCTCTTTTGAAGAGTTTATGGCCATCCAATGCAGCACTCCAGTTGTGCGAATCATACCACCATGTTTCTGTGATGGCAGCTGTATTATGCTGTAGAATGTCTTCCCCTCCAATAATGGTCAAGCATCACATTGTGAATGATGCCATGCTGCTGACCTGCACAATGACGATAAAATAAAATCCATGTTTTGGATGTGTTAACTTTTTGCTACCTTCCTCGTGGGGCCTTTTTTTTTGGCTCACTAGCTGATGGCTTAGCAAAGACTTGTTGATATGTTTGCAAAGAGATGGTCTTTTTCCATGATCTTTTATTTGTAACTTAGAACTGAATAAAGTGTATTAATAGTTTAATTATGCCTTCTAGATACTTCAGATGAATGTAAAGATACAGAATGTAACAGAAACATATTAGTAGATATATAAATCATACTTGTGTTCAAAATCTGATTGCAAACTTTAATATCTTTTTAACAGTGATGTATTATTTTTAATGTAATGCACAATTTCTTTTCTTTGTAGGTATGGCATGAACTGCCTCATTCAGTTTGAGGATTTTGCTAATATGAATGCATTCCGCCTCCTGCACAAGTACCGTAACAAGTATTGCACTTTCAATGATGATATTCAAGGTAACAGACTCTTTCTCTTCTCTTCACTCTTGTGATGCTCACAAGCCAGAAAAATGAGTCTTAGCTGATGTAACAGAGGGAAAAAAATGTATCAGCTTTCCTGTGATATTTGAAGAAGTCATTACAGGTCACATTTTGCCTTGGGTTTCCTCAACATGGGTTTCGGGTGAGCCGTCTTTGCTCTTAACCTTTCTTCTCTCATTTATGCCACGTGCTTTATTTAGATGTTCACTCTTCAGGTTTTTTTTTTTTTTAATAGCTTAGTGTACGAATGGCTTTTCCGTATAAATTATTAACTTCAGATCTTTAGGCAAATGTCAAAGCTCAAGCGTGGACTGTACTTCCCTCAGTGTTTTTGTCACTGCAGTGACAACTGTTCCACTGTTCTTCTATGCAACAGAGCTTACTTGATGAATGTCAAACTGTATTTCAGTTCTTAAGCAGACAACTCAGTTAAATAGCTTTCTGATTTTTTTTTTTGCAGCCTCAGATCTGCGTTCAATTTTATAGGGAAATTATTCCCCTGACTCTGCTTTCCCATCTGAATAATTTGTAGCAACTGGCAAAATAAAAAGATCTAAGATGGGAAACATCAGCAAGGGGGATTCCCCCAGCGCGCAGTCTAGAAGGGCATCTTGTCCCTTCCCTTCTGAGAGCGAGGCAAGCAAGGCTGAAGTGGCAGATGCTGCTGCTTGGATTGCCTTACTTCCTGTCAGGAAAAGAGCACTGGAAAATAACTTTCTCTAGGGCATTAAGTGCACTGGTTCCCATCCTTGTGAGTAAACTGAAGTCAGATGAACTGCTGAAGAGTGGTACTCAAGGAGGGCCCTGGGCACCCAAGCTGCCTCTTAACCCCTCAGGTTTCCTTGGGTAGTTTGAGGTCCCTACCAGTAACAGGACCAAAACTAGGGGCTTGAACATCTTCCTTTGTAACAGTTTGCAGTGAGGCTTTAAGCCAAGCATTAGGAGCTTGAGTGTTCCAGAAGTCTTTCTTGAGTCATTCTTGGGACCTGTGTCTTGTTTCAGGGACTCAACGCCTGCTGGTGGATTCAAATAGCCCTTGTCTTTCCAATGTTAGGGATTTGGCTAGCCACATGGACTATGTTACAAGCCTGGCTGAGTTTTACTCTTGCATCTGAAACACATTATGAAGGACAAACTCCCAGATGGGAAATAAACTAATTATAACGTGTGATTTCCCTTTGTAAGAAGCTTGGTGGTTCTTACCCTGCAGGGCCTGAGTGTAGCCATGGCTACCAAAGTCCAATACAGTGGATGAAACAGCATCTGGAATTTTCCTTATTTTTTTAAAGACCCAGGTCCCACAAGGAATTCTCTTTCCTTTGAAGGATGAAGATCTCACCCCAAATCAAACTCAACTGGAATGTAGTTTTAAAGAAATGGAAAGTAATCTTTTCACCAAGAGTGCACCAAAACTAAAGTGAGAAAGTCTTCAGTGTCTCTAGATGCATTTTTAAAACCACTGCATTTTTTCTGATGCACCTTAGAAGGAGGTGTCTTCATGCTCAGAACTGTTGTGAGGTATCTGTTCGGCATTTGACTGAGCTGCCATAGCAGCTATTGGTCTTCCTTAGAAGTGTTGCCACTTGCAGTCTTTCAGTTTATTCAGTTCTGCATTCTGTGTTTGTGGGTCTTTTGATATTTTTACAAGTGAGGTCTTGAACCTTTTGGGTGATCTCTGTCCTTAATGCTTGTATAGCTTCCAAGAGGTGAAAGCAGATGCATGTAGCCTGCTCTAACCTCTGTTATTTGTCATCATATCCATACGGCACCATACCTGCCTGCCTCTTGTCACACCCAGCTGGGACACAGCAGGGTGCCGTAGCGCTCCCTTTCTACACCCATCTTGGTTTTGGAGGGTCTGTTGAAAGAGTTTTTACTGCTTGAGCACAGCCAGTGGCTTAAGGCAAGTTTCCATGTCTTAGAAGCCGTGCATTTGTTTTACACAGGTCTCTTTTTTTATCACAAGGTAGCTGTTTGTAGTCATGGATAAATTTGAAATAGTGGCCTAAATTTCTCTAGCCTTGCTGCCTCTATGCAGGCCAATTATTTCAGTTATTTAAATTGTTTTCATTTTTTCCTCACCCTTTTACTTTAGAATTGTCTTAATGGAAACTGACAAACTTCTGCTGTATTAGACAATCTACATTAAAAACAAGTGTTTTTCTCTGTGGTATAATACTCTAAGTTTTTATTTTAGTGTTCTAACTCGACTTCTCTGTGCCCACAGTTGCAGTGCTTTCCCCCATTATGGGCACAGAGCCTGTGCTTTATGCCAAGAAAAATATCTACACGGAGAGATTGCACTGGATTGGAATTAACTTTGATATCCATCATGACCTTAGATGTCATTAGTTTTTAACAGCTGTGCTGTTTAATTGCTTCAAATTTGATGAAAAGAAACAGACTTAAAATAAGAATGTAGCGCATGTATAATTTAAGATTATTATTGCATCTTAGGTCTGTGGTTTGATTTAAAGTACGTGCTAAAAGTTCAGCAGACTACCATTTGAATAATTAGGAAAAGTATACCTGGAAATTATGTTATGACCAATTGAATGTTAAGTCAGGGAAGTTTTCAGAAATCAGAACATATCAGTCCCAAGAAATCATCAAGATTTAAAAGAATATTTAAAAGATTTAATTCTCTTCAAAATTAACATCGGAAAGGATATGTTTGGTACCTTGAAATTACCATTCTCGAAACCAAATTGTAAAGAATTCTTGGGATTTGTTGCTGTGGTTGTGATGGGTATGAGGCTTCCAGTTCATTCTCTGACCAAGAATTTGGAAAATGCAAAGTTGAATGACGTGATATCTCATATGTTCATATGGTATATCTCAAATTCTGATATTATGTGCAAACTGTAGAAAACCTCTTTCATAATATGAAGTGACATTTTCCTCTAGAGGAAACAGACATTAGGATTTTTAAAATTAAAATGAAAACCAAAAACCAAAACGGTTAAGACATTTGCTGTGGGATTACGTGAAGAGTATTTTTCTTCTGGTATACTCAGGATTTCACTTGTCCATTACACAGAGGAAAATTTACATTGAAATCAGAATGCTTTCAAGTGTACCCTCACTGTATCTTTTGTATGCTTTTCCAGTTGTGTGTACAAGTAGGTGTACGTATAAGTATTGTTTTATTTTTCTCCTATGAAGTTGTAGTTTCTTAAGTTTTGGGGCTTCCCTGCCCTTTTTTTATCCTTCAGTTGTTGCATCTGCTGAAAGAAGGCTGTGCTCCAGAGCACTTATAATGTGCCAACCCCAAAAGGCTGTGGTCTCTAGGATTTCCTTTGGCATATTCATGCTCACTCATAAAGTTTACAGTAACAAAGCTAAAGAATCTTGGACAGAAAACAAAGACTTGATAAATAGTGTACTTTGAAATTTTACATCTGCCATATTTTTACAAGATATGTCTCACTAGCTAGGAAACTATAACAAAAAGGAATATTTGCTAATAACCACTTGCTGTGATTGTTTTTCTAGAAATTTTGGGAAAATAATAATCAGTTTTCAAACTCATATCCGTGAACAATGTCTGTCTTATTCTGCACACAAGGGATTTAACCTGTACTCTGTGGGAGAGGGAGACAAAACCATTTCTCTCCTTCCAATAGCGATGACAGCCAGAAAAGCAGCGAAAGTCAGTTTCTGCTTCGTAATGTCTGCGAGAAGTGGTTAGGCTTTGGCAGATGGATGTGAATTGCATTTTGATTCTTTTCTAAAATTCGAGTCAGTGTTCAGAGTGAAATTTAAGGTCATGCCATTAGTCGGGGCAGTTCCGGTTAGACAGATCTGCTATTCACCCTGATGATGTCCCCCTTTCAGTAGGAAGGAATAAGGGAAGCTGCTGACGAGGAGTGATGACAGCCACTGCCAGCAGCAGTGATAGTGGGTTCAGTAATCTAATCAACTGGGTTATTATGCTTTTTAGAGTCAAATGGCTGAATAAAACCTATGTGGAATACTCTTATAATACCAGTTCTCAAGAATTGTACTCCTTTTGTGCAGACCGTGATTCGTGAGAACCGTGGTGTCTTAAGTCTTTCTATATTGCTATTTTGATCTTTGTTCTGAATCACCTTCATAACGAACATTCAGGTAATGATAACTCACATCCCATGTAATTAACGCAAAGTGTTATTGACAGTGTTGTAGTCTATTCAGGTTTCATATCTCTTTTTCCTTAAAACAGAAGATGATACTGTAATAGAGTTTCTAAAAGTATCCCAACTGGCAATCATAGACCATGCAACAGTTCACCAAAAATGAAGATAAGCAGGATGCCAGCATTCCCATTCGTTCCAAATTCATGGTGTTTCATTCTGTGTCTGTCACCAGAAAGCATCTTGAAGAGCAGCTTTCCTGGATCTCTGAGAAGTCTTCTGATGAGGCCAGGGTCCTGTGGTGCCATGTCTTCAAGGGCTGCTCAAGCTCAGCTTTCTTTTTCAGGAGACCAGATCAATGGGTTTAGGAATAAGGCATGTCATATAGGCTTCCTTCTCCTCCCCTGTAAGCACAGCTGTGTAATATAAAATAGAAAAAAGAATTTGGCATCCAATGAGAGGATGAGATTTTTTTATGGCTGGTTATGAGGATTGTTTGAGTACCAAGGGAAACTGAGAGCGTGGTCTGACTTCTCTCTTTTGCCATTTTTGGTCTTTGCCAATTTGGCACTCGCCAGAGGAAGACTTCATTTCATTTGGGAAAGAAACAAGCTAGCTCTTGGATTCTGTGGGGTGGAAGTGTCTCAGCCTGACAGTTCTTCCCAAAGCTGTGCCTCAGATGAACCATTTTTTAGATTTTTTTATTTAGACATGAGAGAGAAGAGAGTAAGTGATCTCAGCTCATAGAACAAGTCATAAAAATGACTAAATAACTAAAAATGACAAATTTGTATGGTCTAAGCATTAAGTGGGCTGAGAACAAGGTGTCCTGTTTTTCTGATGCTTGAAGGGAAAAAGTCGTAATCAAAAGCACGTAACAAACTTTTAGTTCTAAAGACACGAGTTTTTGAACTGTTTGGGTGGATTTACTTCATGAAGTGACTTTCTAAGGGACTTTCTAAGCTTTAAGTTGCGTTCTTAAATTTTATTAACGGTTGCCTTTTTATTTTTAAAAAGTAACTATTCATGAAGCTCAGATGATCCTATCTATAAACCACAGATTCAAACCCAGCCTTCAACACCCAAATGACGTCTTTTAAGAAAAAGTTTGTTGCTACTTCTGTTCTTTCAGTTCTTTCATAGTTACATATATTTGAAACTTAATGGTCTGCAATATGGATAGCTGTTTTGAGCATTTCCTTGAGTTTAATGCAGAGATTACTGCTATCTCAGGTTTAAACCTCACCTTGCTTATGAAAAAATAGAGTTGTGAATAGAAAAAGCTTCAGGGGAACTGCATGTTGAGGGCAAATGTCCAATGTGCAGATTCTGAACCGAGAGCTTTTGAAGTATGGTCATATCTGTTTCATACTTTTTTTAAAGGAAAAAATCAGTAGCAATGTGACTTTTCCCCTTAAAAAGCAACCAGTGGCTTGTAGATAATTGGAGCTAGGGCTGTGGTTGATCATGAACAGAATTGTAGGAGCCAGCAGATCTCTTCCTTGCATGTTCTTACAGGCTTCTCAAAATCATTTACGGACTCATCTTTGGTTCCCTTGGATCAGTCAATGGCAGCCACTGCCTGGAGAAGGAAGAACTCAGTACTTATTCTCAGAACTGGGACATCTCAGGGCCCATGTTCAGATGGGCATCATAAATCTTCAAAGACAAAACCCCATTTTTTCATTTTCAATACCTAATTGAGAGTGACTAATACAGCTTTTTCAGCCCTGATTAAATCAGTGCTGTCTGCTGTCAGTTCTTCAGAATCTCGTCTAAAAAGACACATTGAGCACAAATTTTCTGCTGGCATCATCTACCTCACTACTGTATCCCCATCCACAGGATGTCTTTATGGGTTCTGTGAACTTAATGAAAACTGATGCACTTTCTCAGTTGTTTTTTTGTTTGTTTGGTTGGTTTTTTTTCCCCTCTGGTATTTAATGGATCCAAGTTCCTTGCAGGAGTAAGGAGTCTGACTGTCTCTTTTTTGGTCCACCTCGTACTTGGGCTTTAGTGATGATGATCATTTGTGAAAATAGAAGCTTGTTACCTGAAGCCAGTAATCCATGAAAGAAGGCTTTCCCCCTCTATTAGGCTTTGTTGTGGAGAAGGAGTAATTGGTCTTTGGATCAGAAGAGCCAGATATCCTGGTCCTGGTGACTAAACACAACTTTCTTCAGCATGTCAGAAGCTGACAGCTAGACTCGGCAGTGCTGACAAGTCAGCTACAGTGTTGTGTTTAGCTTTGGGTGCTGCAATTCAAGAAAGATAAGAAATAAATGGATAAAGTCCAGAGAAGATAAATTAGTGCTAAGTGTTTCAGAAAACATAACTTTCTAAAAAAGAGGAAGAACTGACATTGGTCCACATAAGAAAAGCAGGCTGAGACACTGTTAGTCTTCATATACAATAAATGTCATGTTGCAAAGAGAAAAGAACAGGTTTTCCAGTGGTTGATATGACAAGAGGCCAAAACAGAAGAAGAAAAAAAAACATTTTGATTTGAAATTTTTAACAAAAAATTTATTGAAGCAGTAGGAATATCTTGTTAAGGAGATCATAGGAGTATTTGAAAAAAGATGTTAGGAACAAGTTAGACAAAGATCTATCAGAAATCAGAGGTATGGTTGATCTTGGAATTGTGATCAGGTTTGAATTAGATGCTTGCCTTGATTGCCCTGCTTTTTTTATTAATAGGTGTTTCTCATGAGGTCCAAAATCTTTCCTTTCAAAGACAGATGTCTCATTCTTTGTGGTTCTGATTTGGAGAAGAAAAGCCTCCACAGAATAAATCATAAAACTACATGTTCACCTTTTTACCTGTGTAGCATAACCCAAAGATAGATTTAAAAGGAACTTCCAATGTTTTACATGCTAGTAAGAACACCTTTCATAGTGTGCTGGAGCCCTGAGGGCTTCCAGACACAGTAGGGTGGTCAGCATCTTAAATGAGCTGGCCTTACTCCTTCAGCCAGCTTAGCTTCCAAGTGACTGTTCATAGTTTGCTCTTCTTCTCTGACAACCTCCCTGTGAGAAATAGAGTTTTATTTTAGACTGGTGTTTTACTGTATTTGAAGAATACCCATTTGAAGAATGAGACCAGTATTGTAATTTTCAGTATCTGGAGTCCTTCAGAATACTTCTGTCTGGACCTTCATGCCCTTTCCTTCTGAAAAAGGTCATAACCAGAAGATTTTTTTCTAGTTCAAATGCCCCAGCCATGATACCCATCCAGTAGAATCAGTCAATCATATTTTATATAATGTTACTCTGAAGTGGGCAGATTCAGGCTAGACGTGAGGAAGAAGTTCTTCCCCATGAGAGTGGTGACGCCCTGGCATGGGTTGCCCAGGGAGGTGGTTGAGGCCCCATTCCTGGGGGTCTTTAAGGCCAGGCTGGATGAGGCTCTGGGCAGCCTGATGTGGTGGGAGATGTCGCTGCTTATGGCAGAGGGGTTGGAACTGGGTGATCCTTGTGGTCCCTTCCAACCCTGACAGATTCTGATCCATTTTTGCAGAGGGCTTAGTAGTGTTGGCTTAATGTTTGGACTTGATGATCTTGGAGATCTCTTCCAACCTAAAGGATTCTATGATTCTAATATGTTCCCACTTACATTCAACTTTCATAAGAATAAAGTAGAACAAATTCCAATTCCACTGAAGTTTTTCGTACTACCCTAAGTACTTGTATCTTTTAGCAAAAAGATGCTGTGGAAATATTTTAAATATTCCAGAATAGCCAAATATATTATTATTTTTTTTTATTCCAGGAACTGCATCTGTGGCTGTTGCAGGTCTTCTTGCAGCTCTGCGTATCACCAAGAACAAGTTATCAGATCACACAGTGTTGTTCCAGGGAGCTGGAGAGGTATGTATTTTTATACATCAGGAAAAATTTTACGACAAAGATATTTTTTCTTAATATTTAATCAAATTATGTGTATCCAGCTAAGAAGAAGATTAAATGGGTAGAATGATGGCTAACACTTGCTGAATGTTGGTTCTTAATTCAAATGTAAACTTACAGAAAATCTCTAACCATGTGGTCAAGCCTTGTATTTTTCATAAGGCATTTTGTGGTGTTCTGTTCTCATTTTAAAACTTCAGGTTATAGTATTTCAGCTGCAAATTATTGAACTGGTCTCAACAGGAACAAGCAAAACATTTTGGAAGATGAGGAAATATATCAGGCTACCAAAGAGAGATGAAATAAAATGTATTTACCAGAGTCGGTGTTACTTAATAAGAAGCCATGCCCCTTTGATTTTTCCTGTCCTTAAATATAGTTTTTCAGTATTCTGCCTGTTAAGATCATCCATTTCTGAAGAGTTTTATGCACATTATGTTTTAATATTAATTTTTCAGTATAAATTTCTAAGCCACAGACACACAAGTAAAAGTTGTACTTATCTACAGTGTGGCTAGCTGTCTTCTCATGTATGAAGTCTACAACTCCATGCAGGCTTCTAAAAAATATTATTCATGGTCACCAGACCCCCCTATATTTGCATGTCGGGGTTTAAGGTCAGGGCCATCTGCTAGACCTCTAACAGATGCTGTTAGTTCCTCTCCCCTCCCAAATGGGACAGAAAAATGAATAAGGGAGAGAGACTTATGGATTAGAAAAGAAAACTAAAACAGCTTTAATGAAAATAATAATAATAAAATGGGATATATACAAATATATAAAAACCCAGTATCAAACCCAACCCCCCTGCTGGAAATTACCTCACTGTCACCACTGATGCTGTGGAGCAGGCGCTGGGGAAGTCCCAGACTGGGCTCAGCAGCAGATGGGAACTGGATTCAGGAGCTGGATTCAGGAACACAAATATCAGGATTGAAGGCAGAAAGGACAGAATCCTCCTAGGATGCCACCCATTGAAGAAGAGAGCTTAATAATCATGATTGCTCAGCTTTATATTGGATATGATGTATATGGGGTGGAACACCTTGTTGGTCAGTTTAGGGTCACCTGTCCTGTCTGCTCCTCCCCAGAGGTGTAGCCTCTTACTTTCTACACCCCCAATGTGGTACACAGGATTTAGCAGTGACCTTGGTCTGCACACCAAACCTTGGTGGTGACTAAACATGGAGTGTTATCACTGCTGGAAGCAGACACTGTCTGTGAAAATATGCTGCTAACTTCAAACAGTACAGCTAGAAGAGACTGAGCTGAAAATTAAAATCTTTGAACAGAATGAGTTCTGTTCCAATTGAAACCAGGACAGTGCAATGTACTAATCCAGCTTTGTGTAGTCCAGATAGCTTTAATTTGCTTCAATATTTGGTGCTACTGAGCTCAGGTCTGTAGTTTTCAGAATGATTTGCATCCATGTCTGGCATGTCAGCGCCTTTGTACATCAAAACTGTCCATCCCTCTGAAGTTCTTTCCCCTGGTGTTGCTCCATGACCAACAGACAGATGAATCCGTGGCCTAATGTTTATTTTTTTCATTAGTATTGTCAGTGTGCCTGTTGCTGCAAAGAAGTAATGATAGATATCATGTCTACTGCAGGAGCTCATTCCCAATAGAGCTATGTATTTCTTAACTAAAAAAGGAGAATTTCACTTGGTTCTCAGTGAAACTGAGTAATAAAGAACAAGAATAATGTATATGAGTTGGTAATCAGAAATACTGAGTGATCTGTTGGCTCATATTGTTGCCTGGTTTTCAATCTGTACCTGTATGACATTTGATCTGTTGGATGAAGTATTCTAAAATCCATTAAGAATTATAAATGTTTCAGCGAAATATTGATAAGTGAATTTTTCTCACCCCTGCTTTCACCGGGAGCACAGCCAAGTCTAGAGTTACAAAACACACAAGGAGTAGGTAAAAAGAGACTTAGCTTCTTGATGGACATTTTAAAAAACGATAAGAACAGGTTTTTCAGATTGCATTTTACTTTCTGGCATGCAGAGTGTGGCTTCCTTAGGTTTAAATGTAAAAAAAAGAAATATCTAATGAACAAAATAAAATTTCAAAGACGAAAAAATGTTTAATATATTCTGAGATGATTATGTGGAGTAAATGTTGGTGTTAGCATTAATTGATTAGAGTTTAAACGTTTATTTTGCTTTCCACATTGTAAATGCCTTCTTAAGATTTATCTATACTATGATTTAGCTATATGATTTAAGATTCATCTATACTATTTATCCACATTATGGTTTCTATTTGCCAAATAGTAGCAACAGTTCATTAGCATTTACTTTATGAAAAAAATAATGATTCAGTACTATTGTTAAATAAAACGAAGACACTTATTTAAAATAGTGGGTGGGGGAAACAAATGAGCAGGGGATTTCTTTCATTTCTAGTTTCATATACAATTTTTCTGCTCTACCCTTCAGGCTGCCCTGGGGATAGCAAACCTCATTGTTATGGCTATGGAAAAAGAAGGGATATCTACAGATGCAGCTATCAAAAGGATATGGATGGTTGACTCAAAGGGATTAATAGTAAAGGTATGATAATTTTTTCATTCCTTTAAATGCCATGATAGTTATTTGCAGCCTGCAGATAAAGGCAAAAACATATTCTTTGTGAAAGGAACTACAACAATTTACCTCTTGACACAGCAAGCTGGTTTTCTTTTCTAAAGTGTCTTAAATGAATGCCACTCCCATGTTACTTCAGGGGGAAGTGTGATCATGCTTGGAGTTTCTGCCCTATTTCTTTTAGGGATGAGCACACAAAGAAGAGAATTATTCTGAAGTTCATTAAAACACATGTAAGGAAAGAAATGTCCAACCTGTGGGTTTCATATTTCCCATGGCAATGCAACTATTACTTGTTAGCACACTGTTGCACAAAGATGTACAGATACATCACTAGGATAGCATTCAAGGGTTTTCTGAAGGAACAAAAATATTTTTGAATAAAGTATTTTCCTGGTATTGCAAGCATGTCATCCTTCTGCAAAAACAGATATATTACATCAAACAGCTTCTATGCACAGTGATATAGCTCATGTTGCAGATGTTGTGGTCTGCAGTGCTATCAACACTGGTCAGAATTTGAAGCTGCTGAGAGACTTCATCAGTCACCCTTACCTCATTCCTTCCACGTGCCAAAATAAAGACAGACATGAATTCCATGTGCCAGAATAAAGAAACTGCTATGTTTTAAAAGGCGGTTATGTATTTAGTAGTTTGTGAGCTACTTAAAAGAAATGGATGAGAGGCCAGTTGGCTTTGCTTTTTCACCTTGTCTGTTGGGTAGCAGTGTTTATGGTAATTTTTGTTGGTATTGCACTCTTGTGCAGTGCTCTTTAGTCATTTAATATTTAAGATCTTTTGTAGTTCACGTACCTATGCATCAGGACCATCCATTCTGCAGTCCTGTATCTGTGCTGATTTATTGAACAGCATCACAGCACCTTTCACTCATACTATTGAAGGGGAAATAGTGGGATCATAGACATTAAGATGAGACAGTATTACTAAGGTCATCTTGGACATCCCTTGCCAGAAAACACATTCTTCTGATCAGATACAGAAAGATGCTGGTATTTGCTACTGTGTAAGACAGATTTTTTTTTCTGGTGTGTGTTTGTTTTGATGAGTGCTTTTAATCATTTTGGTTTTCATCTAATAATCTTAAAGTGCTTTTGCATCCAGGCCCATATGACCGAAGGCCTGTATATCTTCTGTGGCTGTTAAAACCTACAGGTTGCCTAAGAAGAATGGTGTGTTTCACAATTCCCTCCACCAAAGAGATTGGGATTATCAAATAATACAAATGAGCTAAAATCACCTTCTGGTGGTGTTAAGGAAACAAACTGACAGGGGCGATAAAACAGGTCTCAGCTGCTTGTCCATCCAGCCAAGGTGGTTAACCAGCCTTTCTTCTCTCCTGCTTGTTTCTTCTTCCTGCTTCTTTTACACCTCTCACTGCTAATTTGCTAGTCAGATGAGAAGTCAGGTTGTTGCTCTTGGTACGCAGTGAGAAATTCCTTTCACAGTTCCTAAATTTTTAGTGACATGGTGACTGTATACTTTCTTCACCACCTTCTAGCTTCAGTGCTCTCAAGCAGTGCCAAAGCCAATCAGCGCCTCACGTAGCCTTGAAGTTCTTTTCCTCTGCTTATTCTTCTTGGTGGGGCTTTAATTTGGGTTTTGTCCAAAAAGCAGTCCACTGATTTTCATGTTCTGCCCAGAATATATTTGTGAACTGCTTATGATAGCCAGACATAACAGCTGTCTGAGATAGATTAGGGCTGAATTTGTGGCTAGATGTTGACTCAAGCAGTGGGAGCTGATGGTGCACATTTCAGGTCATTGCTGGTGTTCCTGGAAGTCCTGAGAGCACCAGTATTCCTGTCTGGCTGTCCTGGGGGACTTGAGAATAGGTGGGTTTTTAATGCTGTGGTGTGTTTGAATGCAGAGCCTAGAAGCTGAAGAGGCATGGTTTAGTGGTGACCTGGTGGTGCTGGTTTAATGGTTGGGCTTGGTGATCTTAAAGCTCTCCTCCAACCAAAACGATTCTGATTCTACTTCAGTGCGCGGCCTAAGCTAGGCTTAAGGAGATCCATCTGTGATCTAGAGCTCTTCAAGTCCTCTGTTGGCTTTCTTCTGCAGCTAAATGTTCCCCCTAAAAAGTAACAAAATTTATAAATGCCACCTGCCTCCACACCACTACCCAACCCAAAAGCAAAACCCCAGCATAAGCCTCTTGAACCTTGTGATTTAACTGCTGGGAAGTCATATATACGGCAAGTAAATAATTAAGCTATTCTTGGTTCCTTTTTCTGGCCCAAAAGAGAATGCTGTACTTTAAGTCTGCTTAGGAAATTATTTGGGCTTCAGCTGATCGCAGAAAAGCACTACAAGACTTAAAGGACTTCCCAAGTCCTTAGAAAGAAGATAAGAGAAGTAAAATGAGGAAGATTTGTGGAAAAAAAAAATATAATGAGAAGGATTGTATTGTTAGAAATCTTTTAATTATTGTGAAGATAAATACTTGCCAAGCCACAGCACAGATCACCAGCTAAGCAACTTTGCATGAGCTAAGCTGACTTTTATTTCTCACTACTGAGGAGTTATATCAATGGAAAACTGTTCAACAAGAGTCTCTTAAAATTTGAGTCACCAAAAACTGCTTGATCAAAAGAGTTTTACTTGAAGCAGGGAGACCTTTTCAGTCCTACAAATATTCTGATTTGTTGCCTTAGCAGTATGAGAAGTAACAGAACCTTTGAAGACTCAGCAATTACTTTGTCCAAGTAAACTAATTTTTACATCATTTTTATTCTATGCTGTCCTTTGATCATTAATTTTGCAATGCATAATTATAGATTTAAACATTGTTTCTCCTTTCATCTCCTTTCTGTAGTATTTCAACGAGTGCAAACCAAAGAAAAATAACTTGGGAACTTTTGTTGACCTGACTGGAAACAGTTACCATGTTTTCCTTCTTCCCTGCACCCCAAAGCTGCCACGAAGTCACTTATCAGACTTTTGTATCTGATTTTTCCTTTGTGGCTTTTTAATTTTAGTTCAAGTGCAGCTGTGTTTTCATTTTCCCATTAATATTCTCCCCTGCCCTGGGAACCATCTTTTTTCATTAAACCAAGTTTGATGACCAATTTTTCTGCTATGTTGTGGTAAAAGAGCTACTGATGACGGGTATGTGTGTTATGCTGTCTATAGTTGTGTTCTCTGCTTCATTCTGGAGAGCTTATAATGTTCATATCAGTTTAGGGTTATTGTGAGTTTCTTTTAATTAGTTCAGTATGCTTTCACCTTTGAAACTAGTTTTTTCTTCAAAGGTGGATGAGGAAGGTTTGCAGATCATAGTATCATTGGAATTTTGCCACTTGAACTATAGGACTTTTTGAAAAGAGATATTTTTCCTCTTGAAATGCATGTCTTAAGTAACCCAGTGCATTCAGATGGAAGTTTTAATGTTTAATTAAAAGACACTTTTAAAGTTGCTTTTTCACTCTTGTGTATTTGGAGATTAAGCAGTTTCGACTCATCTTTAATTCTGAATTTCTGAATTCTGTCACATTGTCACATTCTGTCTGATTGATGAATAGATATTTACCTAGATGAACACACTGATGGGTGATTTCTCCCATGTTCCTTTTCTTTCCTGTATTCTTAGTGTTTCCATTTTTTTTCTGTTATTCACACAAATATACACAAATGTGTGATGTACATGAACGCATTTTTTGCCTTCTTTAAAGCTGCCATAGTGTCATGCTTAGCTATATTGGTGGCTAAATCTTCAACCTTAAACTTCAAGGACAGTGCATCTTTTTGTGTCCAGTAGCTGAGAGGAGGCAGGTGGTGATAAACAGTATTGGGATGTTTTTGAGGTTCACTGTTCACTGTAGAATAATAAAATGGTTTGTGTTGGAAGGGACCTTAAAGATCATCTAGTTCCAAGCCCCCTGCCATGGGCAGGGACACCTCCCACTAAACCACGTTGCTCAAAGTCCCATCCAACCTGTCTTGAACAATTCCAGGAATGGTCATCTACACCTTCTCTGGGCAACCTGTTCCAGAGCCTCACCACCCTCACAGTGAAAAACCCAGCATTTCAGCCATGTGCTGCAATTTCTTCTTTTTCTTCTTTTTTTTTTAAGGCAATGTCAAGAACAGGGTTGAATGGTAGGCAAGGTGGTTCTTGGAACTGCCTGGGAATATGGTGCAAATAATAAGACATTTTTAGTACTTAAAGGGACTCTGTAGACATCCTCGCCTTCTGCCGAGGATGGATGCTCCTCTTTTGAGGATGGACAGGCTGGTGGGAGTGTTCCTGAACTGCCAAACATGCTTCTCTTGTGATGGTTTATCTGTAATTTGCAAGACAGCATTAGCTTTTTGTATGCCACATAATCTCTAGTGCACAAATGAATCTCCCTCACATAGGGATGAATGTCATCTTTATCTTTAAAAAGTATGTCAGCCTGGAGGAATGTTGGATTTAACAGTTTTGTACTCTATGCTTTCCAGTTTAGCAGAGTAATACTTGTGTCTAGTCAAGTGGTTTGTGTTTTAAATGGTCATTAAATATGGGATCTTATACCCTGAAAGACTTCAGATCATCTGGATGAAGCCCAAAAGTGAACAGCAAGCACAAGAACATCAGTTGAGGTCTGATAGTTGAAGTCTTTCTAAGAGGAGGACTGAAATAAATCCCAAAAGTTTGCCAATTTCTGTGGTCCTAATTAGTTAGAATGGAGATACCCAGGTAATTATGTAGATAATTCTCTAAAATGTTTTCATTTTTCCTCCTCCTTTTCCCATTTGAATATCCCTGGCAATCTTACTTGGAAAAGATCCAACTGGATCACAACTCACAACCTGATAGTGGATAAGACCCTGATTAAAGCCCACGGTTTGGTCAAAGCTGGATATAATTTCTTATATCTCATTGGTTAGAGAATGGTGGAAGAGAAAGGGGACATTTGGGACTGATAAGAGAACTTCAGTGCCATATAGGTGTGGCTGCTCCC